TTAACTTCGAATGGCGGAATGTTTAGTATTTCTATTTGTACCTTCAGGTTGAACAGCATATTTTTGGCCTTTCTTGGGCCGCTTGCCTCTTTTGTTTTTACCGATAGGACCTTCTCGGTTTCTTCTACCAATAGAACGAATGCTTCTTCAGTTTCTTCTTTGTTTTTTAATTCCAGTATTTCTCTTTGTAAGTCAGCCTTTTCCAGTCTTAGTCTTTCGACCTCCATGGCTTCTTGCTCAAGCTAGCTATATTTTTCTTTCCATTCCTGTACTTCCTGTTGCAGGCGTAGGTTTTCTTGTGCTGTGGTAATTGCTTGGATATGCATTTCTTCAAGTTCCTTGGCCTTTTCTTGTCCTGATTCTATGGCCATTTTAAGTTTCCTAATCTCTGCTTCACAATGGTTAATATAATCTTGCTGTTGTTGAAGGAGATTTCTTGGTTCGTACCTGACTGGTTCTTCTTGTGATATAGGAGTCCTTTTGTCAAAGTAATATCCTGAAACCAATAGTTAAGGTTATCACGTAATTCCTCTGTTTCTCCTTCGCTATCGTCGGATAGTTGGATTTTGACAGCAATTGTATGGCTTCGGATTTCCTCTTCATCGCTGAATGTTTCGTCATCAGCGGTGTTGTAACTGATCCGGCTTGACGTGGATGCTGCTTTGTAGTTGTCGAAACTTATGGATATTCTTCCATCTATTAGATTGCGGCTTCTCACTTCAGATGGCTGCATTGGTATTGAGACCTGGGTCGGTCGAATTACCCAGTCTCTGTCATGTATTTCTGTTGTGGAGTACCTTCTTCCGGGGAGAGCCCGGACGCCATGGCTTGTTAGGTAGTCCACCACCCCTGAAACCTCATAAACAAAGGCAACATTCGGGGTATTTGAAAGTCGCCCTACCATCCCTTTGGTGACGAGCAAATTAGCTTCACCATTTCGCCATGTGTCATATCCTCTGGTGAGGATTGAGAGTTGAATATTACGGTAAAAGTCCCCTATTGTCATCATGATGTCGGGGATTACGTAGACCAGCTGACTCCCTCGAGTCAAGTCTACTTCCATGGTGGCAATGATGGACCGATCATCCATCCATCTGTTGTCCCTAAACACTAGTAGCGCTAGTATTCCTTCTTCCTGTCGATGCAGGGTTTGCAGCCGTACCTGTAGTATTCCTAGGTGGACATACTGCATTCTACTCCTCTGAAGCCTTTCATAACTTTCCTCCATGATGAAGGATCTGTCCTCTTGGTTGTTTGTAACCAGCATGGCTTCTTCAGACCTGTGAACGTATACCCTGTGATGGATATCGTCCCTTCTTGAGTGGTATAGCACCTCAGCTGGTGCTATAGTAGATCTGTCGCGCATAGATAATCTCAGTTGTGCCTGAGGGTCTATTTGCTGTTCTAGGATCTGTTGGGTGGAGATTGAACCTCCAAATAATCTTTGTCCTACTCGCCTCGTTGCTTGGCGAGCATTAAAGATCCTGCATTGATTTCTCCTGTAATCTCGGATTTGATCTTCGATCAAGGGGGCAGATG